AAAACGGAAAGCGTGCAGCAGGGTGGGGAGCAGGGGCTGTGGGCTGCAGCACGGAGGGGACTCGGGGTGCGGGGGGAGCCTGGAGAGGAACGACTTCTGCCGCTGGTCCCCTAGGGAGGGAGAAATTGGCGCGATGCGCAGGAACAGATCGCACGGGCGGGAGGAAAACACGGGAGCGGAGAGGCGGCGGAGGTGGGGGAAGCCGGCTACACCTCGCCCGGGGGGCAGAGGCGATGCAGCCCCGGGAGCACAGCGCAGGGGGAGGAGCGAGGGGTTCCAGGAGGCGCTGCACCCCGGCCGCGAGCCGGCCGGTTCCCTGCTGCATCCCGCTCTCCCTCTGCTCACCTGGGACCTGGAGGCGAAAGGAGGGCTACCGCCGGGCTCCGGGGCTGTCTCCAGCCCCACTCGCTGACATGGCGGCCGACGAGCTGTCACGGAGCTTGCTCGGGTCTCCCGCCGCTCGCGTGTCGGAGACACCTCTGCCTTCCAGCCCCGCCTCCTCTGCGCACCCCTCCCGGCGGGGCCGCCCGCGACCGCGGAGCATAGAGCGCGAGCGGCTAGAGAGGAAGCGCGGAGGGCGGACAACCATAGAGTACACGGCCTGGATGATCCGGCTCCTCGTCCATCCACTCACAGTCCTCCAGCGCCAGCACCTGACCGGAAACGGAAGGGCGGGGAAAAGCAAGGAGAGGATGTCCGCGTGCGTGGTTGGCGGTGTTTGCTTTCGCCAGGGCCCAGTCAGGTGGTGGGGAGATCCCACACGTGGGGCTCCCTGTGAGGAGTTCGCCGGCGATGTAATGAGTCTGGGTGACATTGGGACAGACCTCGAGTGTAAGGATGTGGGTCCCCGTGGCAGGGCTTTCTCGGCGGCTGACGCTGTCCGCCTTTTCCGGTGCTGGTCGCTTTTGCCTTTGGAGGTCCGGAGCGGCGAGGGGGAAGGACGTCGCGGCCAGGAACTTGTCTGACTTCCAGCCGCAACCCAGTGAGGGTTTCAGAGAATTGTCCTCGGGGGTGTCCAAGAGCCGCTTAGAGTCCAAGCGTTACATACTCAGTCCGAGGCTGGCTGAGACCTTGGTGCAGTTCCTGCTGAAAAAAGACGGTTGCAACCTAATCCTGGAATTCAATCCAGGTGAGTCCGTCACGGACTGCGTTTTCTTGGATGTTCACCCCTTCTGCAGACTTAAACGTTGACCCCCCCCGTGGGTTGCTGTGTAAGACATGGCCCCTTCTTTTATGTGGTCAGTATTGATCATGCGACAGTGTTTATGGAGCAGTCTGCGCTTTACAAAATGGTTGGAGAGAACATGCTCTTAGATTCCACCGTCCCTCCAAGGTAGCTGCACCCCACCCCCTAAAAAAGAACTTTCATATTACCCTTCCTTGAATCACCTCTGGACCAGTAGAAGGATGCTGAGAACACTAGATTTATAGACTTTATTAAAGAGTAACTTTTTAAAGCACCATTTTCTATCATGAGGAATCAGTTCTGTTTAGGATAGTCCCTGATTAAATGGTAGGATAGAGGCAACCTTTACGGTTTGCTTTTTTCCCCCCTTGAGGGTGAGACATTGTGTTTGGAGCTCAGGTTTTGCAGCCTTTGACAGAATGGATTCACAACCAAGCAGCACCACTTACCAGTTGTGAGGTTGGAGTCCAGTGACTGTGTCTAATCCCCAGTTTCCTTATATGTAAGTAAGGAGTGTAATATCTACTTTGGGGCTGCTGTAAGAATTAAAATTAGATAATACACGTAAAATGACTAATTTCTTTGATTTTGAAAGGAATTCTTGTTTTTTGTAAATAATCATTTTTTTGTTCTGTTAATATACTAGGTCCTGGAATCCTGACTCAAGCATTACTTGAAAGAGGTGCCACAGTGATTGCTCTTGAAAGTGACAAAGCTTTTATTCCACATTTGGAGGTAGATTTTTAGTTTCTAAAAATAACTTACTGTTCAACCCCTTCCCCTTGCAGCGGTTTAGGGAAGTAAACTTAAGCACACAATTTATTTTTGAGGACTCACTTTTAGGGACCATGCCTTAAATATGTTGTCATCCCCAGTGATTAGAACGTAGTATCAGTGATTGTTGAATAACTAAAAGACTGGAGTTCTAAGACTTGTTTTCTGCTTCTACCTCTGCTACAGACTAGTTTGGTAACTTCGAACAAAATGTATAACTGGTATTTCTAGGCTTGTTTCCTCATCTTAGTAGACTATGCTGTGCCCCTGCTTTCTCTGAGCTTAGAATCTAATTGCAGTGCTAAGATCAAGTTAATGGGACTGTATTAACTCTGGATTTAGGGGCAAGAAAGGTTTGGTATGGTCAGATACAAATGCATGGAGTGAAGGCATTATTCAAATTGATTTTTCAGTGAATTCCCTTTTGTTATATAGCACAAGATTGCATAACAGTAAAGTGGAAATTTCTTGCATAATTGTCATCCTGTTTTCTTTCTCTCCTTCCCTCCTTTATAAATCTCTACGTTCAGTTTAGGAAACTTCTGCTATTCTATGCCAACTTCCTGAAATCATGTAAAATCTAAATGAAAACAAAAAATTGTGAAATGTCCATCAAATCCAGCTATTTTGTTTACTTATTATTAATGGAACTATGCGCATTAGCTGTTCGCTATTCTACGACACGCTGCTTTGAAAGTAATTCAGGGTTTTGCTGGGTTATTTAATTGATGAAAAATCTGCTAGAACTTCAGAAACATTAAGAAGAAAAGAATATGAATTGTTCTAAGATTCAAGATCATGAAATGTGATTTAGTACCCATAGCCATCTATAATTTCAATTTGGAAAGTAAAAACAAGATAGCTTTTATCTTGGTCGTTTTTAAAAAGGCTTATTAGTTTTTTGCTCCAGTAAAGGTTTTTACTTTTTTTTTTTTTTTAAACTCCCAGTCCCCTCTCCCCTCAGCACTAACTTGAACTCAGCCCCTAACTTATTAACCATTGTTATGATGAAGTGAAAAGCCATTCAGATAAAGTTGTGTGCGAATTTATGTATTTGCTAGAATAAAAGGGAAGAAGCCATTTCAATAGAACCTTTGCTTGGGTGTTAAAGTGGTGCCCTAAGCAGATAATGCTTCTAGCTTCCCAAAGGCTCTCAAGTGTGCTTCTAAAACCTGAAAGGATTTTAAAGGGTGATGCTTGACTCTGGAGTTTTATCTAACTTTAACTACTCCCTTCCCCATTTCCCAGATAAAATTCTTGGGACTCCACGTTGACAATGTTTCGAGCAGAACAGTTTGTTTTCCTATGTGGATGTCTAGAGATACACGTTACAGATTGTGTGCTATAATAATAAATCATGATATATCTCATTTGAATTGTGAAAACTGTTGCATCTACTTAGCTGTGGATGTTTAGTTGAAGAGACATCAGCTTTTGTGGTAAACTGTGTCTTATTTCAGCAGGGATAGAGCACAGTCTTTTCAAATTAGGCTGAATCGCAGCCCTAGCATTTACTACCTTTAAGACCCTTGGGCAAGTAAGTAATTTAAACTGTTTGACTCGTAGTTTTTCCATATACAAAGCAGAGACATTAATTTCCACCTGTAAAGAATCTTGATGCAATTTAAGTAAGATAGACTAAAGTGCCTAACATCATGAGTAGGAGAAACTTAAAGGTTACTTGTCTTTCCTCGCCTTTTTACTTCCTGTTTTTAAATCCTAAATGCAGTCAAGTTGAGTTCTAACATGTGATTTCACTATTATACGAATTGAATTATTAATTCTGGAGTTTTGGCTGTTACTGTGTTTGAATTATTGAATGGTAAGTGACAGATGAATAAAGTCATAAAGTATACATTCTTTTTACATTACCATCAAACCAAAATTCATTAGCTTTCTTCAGTTAGGAAGATTAAAACATGACTTGAGTAATTTGTGAGATTACTTTATTGCCGTACATATAGTATAATTTGTTTAATCAGTTTTTTAGAGGTATGCATTATATGAATGCTCTTTTTCATAATCCCCACTTCTGGTTTTCTTCCTTTCGTTTTGGCTTAGTCTCAGCTTCTTTTCCTGTGTACTTGACCCTAGAGATCTCATCTGCAGTCCTGGCTTTAATTACCTTCAACAAGCTAAATACAAATTTATATATTCAGCCTGGACCACTTCACTGACCTCCCCATTTAGGTCTACAACTTCCTACCTGGCATTTCTACTTGGATCACTTAATAGGCATCTCAGAGTTAACATGACCAGCCCTGCTGGCATGGCTCAGTGGTTGAGCATCGACCTGTGAACCAGGAGGTCACAGTTTGATTCCCTGTCAGGGCACATGCCCAGCTTTCTGGCTCCATGCCCAGTAGGAGGTGTGCAGGAGGCATCCCATCAATGACTCTCTCTTATCATTGATGTTTCTTTCTCTCTCACCCTCTCCCTTCCTCTCTCTGAAATCAGTAAAAACGTATTTAAAAGAAAATTAACACGATCAAAAATACATGATTTCCACCCCTAGTTTGTTCTTTCTACTAGTCTTTTTCCAGGGTCCCCCTGAAAGTAATCATTGAAATGGACTAGATTTAGGAATTTAATAATATTTATAGGTTGAACTCAAATGCTTAAGAAAAACTAGTTTTTAAATTCATGACTTTAAGTTGCAAGTTTGTTGAAACCTTGAATACCAATAGAGGTTTCTGGGCGTGAGAACCTAAATATGCATATCAAAGCATATTGCCCTCTTCTGATTGATTTCTTATAACTTCAAATTAAGTTTACGGAGTCTGTAGCTCATACTACTAAGCTCTCCAGGCTACTACTGCAAGGTGAGCAGATCAGGGCAGTAAAAAGATTGAGGTATATTGGATCTCTTCCAGTGGACAGGGAGCTTTCCTTCTAGAGTTGCCTCTGTCTCTAGAAAAAGTAAATGAAAAATTAAGTGGAAAATGGTCAGTGACCTACACAGTGAGCTAAGTTCATTTGGTGAGGGACTAACTAAACTCTTCAAGAAAAAAAGGAATACCCTCTTGAATCACCTGCCTCTCACTTTAATATTTTATTGTTTTTCTCCACTGTGAAACATCTTTGTGTAACTAGCAGATGGGTTGCAGCTCTGTCTGAGCCCAGATGTGGTCTCAGAATCTTTGTGGGTGCACCAGGCTGCCACTGCTAAGGAATTCGAGATTAGTGTGAAGGAGCTTTTCGAACAACTGATGATGCCATTGAGATAAAGAAAGTAAAAAGATCAGTAAGAATTTGTTGGTGTTTTTGTTTGTTTGTTTTTTTGACTTTTTTTTTGGTATTTTCATTATTTTTCAGGCATTAATTGATTTGTATTAACTGTTAAATTTTAGGGTATATTAGTAATGTTTTCTTTACATCTTTATTAAGGTGGTAATATTTATTGTAAGATTTGCTTTTTGAAGTGGATCTTTGAATTGTTATAAACGATCCGCATAACACTGAAATTTCTTAACATTTTATCTCTGTTTCTTTTTAGTCCCTAGGAAAAAAGCTGGGTGGAAAACTACACTTGATCCACTGTGACTTCTTTAAACTTGATCCTAGAAGTTTTGGAGTAGTAAAGCCTGTTGTGAATTCAAAGTTGCTTTTTCAGAATTTTGGAATAGAAACACTTCGTTGGTCAGAAGGTAATTTTTGTAGTTTACTAAGGGAGATACCTTATAATTTGCCAGCTTTTTCTAGCAGTGCACCTGGTTTGTTGATGAGATTTGTATACTCTTTATAGTATATAATTTATGGGCAGAAGCTCTTAAGTTGAATATTGTTTTCCCCTCACCTCAACACAATCCCCCAGCAGTTGTGCCGAGGCCAAGTTCCACATCAAGGAAACATATCGAGGCTTAGTTTTAATTGAAATAAAATGAATATAGTTTGTTAACTTAGTTTTACTCAATAAAATATGGTCACAGAGAAAAGTGTTAAGAATTTATTCAAGTATTTTTGCTTGTATTTTTAACAGGTATCCCTTTAAAAGTAGTTGGAATCTTCCCAACTAAAAATGAGAAAAAGATGATGTGGAAACTTTTACATGATGTATATTCCTGTACTTCTCTATATCGATATGGACGAGTAGAACTAAATTTGTTTTTTAATGAAACGGACTGCCAGGTAGGTTATTAACAAGTACTTGACTAGTATTTTGTCTTGAAAGAGTTCTGTGATTTTTCTCTAGTCTTAATCTGTGTGATTTTAATTTGGGCTCATGACATAAATTTTACCATTTTAAATATTTTTTGAGAGTGTACAGTTCACTGGCATTAAGTACATTTACGTTGTGGTACAACTGTTACCATCATCTATGAACTCTCAGAACTTGTTCTTCAATCTATACTGGAACTCTGTACCCATTAAACACTAACTCCCCTCTCATGAGCCCCAACTATCATTCTGCATTCTGTCTATGAATTTGATTATTCTAAGTACCTCGTATAAGTGGAATTACACAGTATTTCACTTTTTGTCTGGCTTATTTCAGCATAATGTCTTTCAGCTAATGTCTTTATTCCATTGTATATATACACCACCTTTTGTTTATCCATTCATCTGTCAGTGGACACTTGGGTTGATTTAAACTGGTTATCTCATTGATATTTTGAATTTCCATTTTCTTAAATGATTAGTGATGAAGAGCACCTTTTTTTTGATTATAGATCATTTGTATGTCTTCTTTGGATGAATTAATCAGGTTGTCTATTTTTTGGTTGTTGAGTTTTAGGAGGCCTTATACTTAACATTAATCCCTTCTAAGGTACTCGATTTGCAAATATTTTCTCTCCTTTTATGGGTTGCGTTTTTACATTGCTATGGTATCCTTTGATTGAGTCCCAAGGTTCTTAATTTTGATGATGTCCAGTTTTCTTTTTTGGTTGCTGTTGCCTCTGCCTTGGTGTCATATCTCAGATATCATTGCCAAATCCAATGTCATGAAGCTTTCCCCCATGTTTTCTTCTAAGAGTTTTATAGTTTTAACTCTATGTTCAAGTCTGACCTATTTTGAATACTTTTTTTAATTTTTAAATATATCTTTATTGATTTCAGAGAGAGGAAAGGAGAAGGAGAGAGATAGAAACATCAATGATGAAAGTCATTGATCGGCTGCCTCCTGCACACCCTGACTGGGGATTGAGCCTGCAATCTGGGCATGTGCCCTGACTGGGAATCGAACCCCGATCACCTGGATCCTAGGTTGATGCTCAACCGCTGAGCCCCGCCCGCCAGGCTTGATTAGTTTTTTTTCATATGATGTTAGGTAAGGGTCCAGCTTCATTCTTTGGCATACAGATATGCAGTTTTCCCAGCACCTTTGTTGAGAGACTGACCTTTCCCCATTGGCACTCTTGGCAAAAATCACTTGACAGTATACATGAGCGTCTATTTGTGAACTCTTTTATTCCATTGTTCTATATGTTGTCTTTATGCCAGTACCACACTATTTTGATTACTGTAACTTTGTAGTAAGTTTTGAAATCACGAATTGTGAGTCCTCCACTTTTGTTCTTTTTAGAGGTTGTTTAGGCTATTTGGTGTCTCTTGAGATTCCAATATACATTTTAGGGTGAATTTTTAATTTCTGCAAAAGCACATCTTTGGGATTTTGATAGGAATTGCATTCAATTTTGTGATCACTTGGGTAGTTTTGACATCTTAACAATATTAAGTCTTTCAGTCCATGAACACAGGATGTCTTTTCATTTATTTATGTTTTCTTTAATTTCTTTCAGCAGTGTTTTGTAGTTTTCAGTATAAGGAATTGTTTTCTTAATTTCCTTTTCAGATTGTTCATTGTTAGTGTATAAAAATACAACAGATTTTTGTGTGTTTTGTATCCTGCAACTTTGCTGAATTCCTTTATTCTAAGAGTTTTTGTGTGTGGAATTTTTAGGGTTTTAGACTTTACTTTTAATTCACTGAAATGGAAGGTCCTCCTGAAGTCCTTGATATTGCCTTGAGAGTAATGTTTTTCTGCCCAGAATGCCTCCTGTTATTAATCTTTTAATCCACTGTAACAGGGGATACTTATTTGTATGTAACAGCTGTGGGTTAGGATAGTGGGGCAAGAAATGAAGGGATGATTTATTAACCAAGATCCAGACAGTAAGTACTGACTGTCTGTGGAGGGAGAGCAGGGTCTCAGAACCTTGAAGCTGTACATAGAGTAAGTACATGGAAGAATGAAAGGAAGAGAAATAGGAAATGCTTTCTCAGGTTTCATCTTGCTGCTACGAAAATGTCTAATGCTGCCTTTACCATGGATCTTTTCACATGTGGTTTCTTCTCACTGAGGTGCCCTCTCATTCACTGTGGTAACCTCTTATCTTTCAAGTGTCAATCTAAGCAATCTTGACTCAAAATTTAGTGGCCCACCTGGTACATATTTCTAACACACCTGTCCTTCTCCACAGTAATTACACATTTTTGTTTCATTTTAATGAGGTTTTGCCCTGATGGGTTAGATATGGGTAAAGGAAATCAATCTCCAATATGTTCTATTTTAAGTGTACATGATATATTTCAATATGAACATTTAAAAGGCCTTTCTCTTTGAATCAGTTACAATTAAGATTTTGTGTTCTAATTTTCTTTAATTTCTATAGACTGTTAAGATACTACTATTAAGACAGCATTTGGTTTTGACTGATTATAGTTCTGTGTAACAAGTACCTTCTGTTTTCCTCCCACTAGAGGATATTGGCAAATCCCCAGAACCCAAACATGTACTATGCAGTGAGTGTGCTCTGGCAGGTGGCTTGTAAGGTTAAGCTTCTGCATATGGTGAGTAAAGCCCTTTTAAATTTCAGCTGGGAGAAAAAATAAAAAATAAAACACTAAAAAGACAATTTCAACAGGGAACTTGGTTCTTTTTAGAGACCTTACATTTTACTGACCAGCGAATGGAAAAAAATTATTATTTTTCCCAACTGTGGAATATAATAAATATTTGTGCTGCCTTTTTTTTCCTTTTTCTTTTTTAAATTTATCTTTATTGCTGAAAGTATACAGATGTCTCCTTTATTCCCCCATTGATCCCCTCCACCCTGCATCTGCCCCACCGCCCCTCTTCCCCACATATTGTCTGTGTCCGTGGGTTATGCATACAAGCATATACAGTCTTTGATTAATCTTGCCCCACCTACTGCCCCACCCTCCCTTCCCTGCTGTTTTTGTCACAGATATTTATGTTTTTCTTTGATTATTAAAATAATATATGTTCATTGTAAAAATGTAAGACATGTAAAAGAAAGAAAAGAATTTAAAAATCACTCCATTTCTACCACCCAGGGGTCACTATTGACATTTGTGGCATATTTTTAGTCTTTTATTTTTGCTATGTTTTTTTTCTTTATGTAGTGAAGATTATATTATTTTGTATCTTATTTTTTTTCACTTGAGAGAGAGAGAGAGAGAGAAAGAAACATGTGAAAGACAAACATTGATCAGCTACCTCCTACCTGAACCCCTACCGGGGATCGAGCCCAAAACCTGGGCATGTGCTCTGACCTGGAATTGTACCAGCCATTGACCTGTCTGTGCACAGGACTATGCTCAGCCAACTGAATCACATTGGCCAGGGCTTGTTGTTTTTCTTCAAACCAGTTAGGGTTCATTCTGTTGTTTAGGTAAGACATTTTTGCAGGAATAATATGGGGCACTTTGACCAAAGAGCACTAAAAAGATGATTTTGTTTAACTTCCCTCCAGGAGCCTTGGTCATCATTTGACATAAGCACCCAAAGTGGCCAACTGGGAAAGCCAGAGAGCACGGTAAGAATAAACGCATACCCTTCCCTTTTTCTCTAAGTGGAATCTCCTTTGTTTTCTATAAGATTATCTGGTATCTGTATTGATTTAAATTTTTAATTTTAGAATATCTAGAAATGTTCTTTAAGCATATCTTACTTCTTTTAATAAACTTAAATTATTTTGGAAAAGAATTGTATTTTTTAGCTATTTACACAGAGGAATCTAGCATAGTTAATAGACTTAAACAGAATCTGACTTTGATTGTTATCTCTTTTGAAATGAAAATATATCTCAAATTTGGAAAACTTAATCATTTAATTTGGTAAACTAAAAAAAATTTATACTTTATTAATTAATCAGAAATTTGTAATATTGCTACTTTTATAATGGTTGAAATTCCTAATAGGTACATCAGTTTCTTACCCAGGAAGTGGGGTGTTCATTTTTGTTGATTTTTCCCCCTTTCTAAAAAACAGGAGTGATGATGTTATAAAGTGATTCTCCGTTTAGTTTATATCAGGGTACTTATAGTGAAATTGTAATAAAGGAGCTGAAGTTTCAAAAACAAGTTTTGATCTCAGTTAAAAAGTTCCACGTTAGGATTAAATGCTGATGATGCTCTAATCCCAGCATACCTACTCAGTTTGAAGTTTCCATTTGCTAACTTCTTTGGTATTTTCTCTTAATACTAAAGGAAAAAAAGAAAATTGTCAATTTAGAGATGGTGTGGTTTTAGAGTGATCAGTCATTATGGTGATCACTGTGATTTTAGTTTTCATCCACTTTTTTCCCCCTCTTTTCTTTATTTCCCTTTCCCTGCCTTTGCCCCCCTCCATCCAGCAGTTGTCTTTCACTCTCCATAAGCATAATTTAATAGGAGCCATATGTTTTGGATGGATACCATTAGGTACTTATCCACATGTTTCCGAAATGAACAACCCTGTATATTTGACACTTGCTCATTTTTCTCAATGATAATATCAAAGGTAAAAAAGTTTTTTGGCCAACTTAAATATGTAAACTTTTAGGGATGAAGATGAAATGACCAACTATTATGTTTCATGAGAGAATTTTATTAAAATATTTCACATGTATCTTTGATATCAGTGTATCAATTATGAAATTGATACAAACACTTTGAGACATTTTACAGTTTTTATAGCACATCATCTTCATTTCCATTAAAGTTTGAGATTTCACACTTTTTTTGAAGCCACGTTTTTATGCTATCATTGAACTTTTTTTCTAAGTTACAAATAAACACTCATTTAACATCAGGAAAGTTTTTTTTCTTCCCTATTTATCAAGTAAATGTATATCTGTAACTCCAAAGATATTTGCCAGGTTGCTTTTTAAAGTCATCTTCAAAAGACTTGTTAACAACAAGTAATACTTTGAATTGTGTTATCCCTATTCCTAATTAATAATTACTAAATATTTTGGAATTTCATTGCCTTCCTTTCTACCAATTCCTTAAGCTGCAGCCATCCAAAACTAGAAGCTAGAATTGATTATAAGTTGGGGGGAGGGCTAATATGTCTTCCACAAATAGTATTTATATTTAAATATATATAAAATAAATAAGTGATCACTACCTAATATGTGAGATTTCCTAAAGAAATATAGGGCGCTTTCTGTTCTGAGGAATAATTTTGGGGTGAAAAATGTCTTAAACTTGAGTCACATACAGTTTTCATTTTGATCTGTGTAATATTGTATACTTGAGCAGGTTGGCAGTGTTTTCTGTAAAGGACCAGTTGGTAAATATTTATGCTTTCAGGCCACGTGCAGTGTCTTTCATGTGTTCTTTGGTTTTTGCTTTTTAAAAAAATATAAAAAAATCCTTTTCAAATGTGAAAACCATTTTTAGCTCCAGACTATACAAAAAGAGGCCATTGCTTGCTAACCTCATATTTTTTTAAAGAAATTACCCAATTAAAAATTATATAGTCAATAGTGTTTAAAATTTTTTTTTTTATCAATAGTATTTTTTATTCTTAGGATCTGGTGTTGTGCTTCAAATACAGAAGAGACTCACTGCATATTAGTGTCACGTTTGGTATTTGATTTCACCCTCTTTGCAAGTTAATAAGCTGTTACTCTTTATGGTTGTTGGCCAAAGACACAGACTCCTGGATCAGACAAAGGATGGTGTTTTCCCCCAAGTCCCACAGAGTGTATGACGTGGCACAGCTGGATGGTGTGCATGCAGAGGGTTTACATTGCAGCTGAGGAACAACACAGGGCTGGGGGAACCCCACCCCTTTTATAGCAAACATTAAGCAAGCCTGCTTTTGTCCTGGAGAGAAATTATCTTATCCCTCAAGATGGCTTACTGCAGACAATCCTGCAGAAATAGCCCAGGTAAAGAGCGGTTAGGGCCTTGCATTCTTGGCACAGCTGATAAGAACATATAGGGACATTCAGGGTCTATGGGGACTCCCTTCTCCAGCAGGTAACTGGAATGAGTAAGTGGACATGTCTTGCTCTGACAATATTTTATGACTAACAATTTATTTTCCCTCTTTTCCAGGAATCATTAGAACAACAAATACAACAAAACCTGTGTTTTATTCAATTTACTCCTTATAGAAATTTATTTACACAAAATTTAACACCTGTTAACTATGATGTATTTTTTCACATGGTAAAGCAGTGTTTTTTGAAGCGTAATGGCAAGCTAATAAACCATTTAAAGTAAGTAAGAAGAATAAAAGCAAGTATAAAAGTAGCAATTTAATGTGAGAATTATACTTTCATGTTAGAGGTTCTAATTTTTATATTTTGTATATCTTGATTAATACAGTGAGGTACCATGTTTCCACTCATGTATTTCTTCAAAATACTTTCTTCTGCCTGGTGCACATTTTGAGAAAAGTATAATTATATTTTCCATATAATCTCCTGAGCTTAATTATTTTCCCTTCTTTGAAAAAACAACCGTGGATGCCTACAGTTTGTTTTATCTTTGTCAAGAGTATATGCCCAGGATTAACCTTCATGAAGAGCTAGCTGCTTGCTGCTGGCTGGGGTGGAGAAGGTTGGCATTATTGGTGGCATACCTTGTCATTGCCTGTCTTTATTGGTTTTGTTTCCTAACCAAAGTAGGGATGGGTCATTGTACCACCCTAATTTTCCTGCCCTGGACTAAAATTTTTGTTTCTATGTAAAGCTTGATAAGGATTATAGCTATTACTACCTATATTGTATTTACATAAGTATAATATTTATATAGGGCTGATGTGTAGTTTTGTGAGTTATCATTACACTTTGTAATCAGCAGCCCATATGTAAAGTATTGTCAGAGGGTGAGCAAAATGTTAATCAGTTAAATTAATTCGATCACAAATACAAAAAAAATTAATATGATCATTAAATATGTAGCTGAATGAGCTGTTGGTTAAATAAAATTTATGTAAAAACAAATGTTAAAAGTGGCAATAGACCAGTAAAAATAATCCACTATATTTTATCTTGTCCCCTTGTGGTGGTTTTGTGTGAAACTATGAAGAATATAGGAAATTAAGGAATAAATATGGTAAACTATGGTGGAAAATGTTCAAAATTCCCTTTGACATCCCTGTGATTGAAAGCATGTTTCAATAATTGAAAGCATATTTCCATCTGTGAAGAGGATTCCATTCAAATTAAAAAAGTATTGGAAATATTTTCTACCAAAATATTGTATTGCAATTGTTTACTTGTTACTGTCAGAGGCTCACTGATGGTTTCTTGATAGACTACTACATAAGGCAGTTTTCTGCTTTATAATTTGTTCACCAGTAATGATTACATAAAAATGTGAAAGATTATTCCTTCTTTGAAAACAGTCAGACATCAGTTTCTGCTGTTTGAATTTACTGAACTTTTACATGAACCTAAATGGATTTAAGAATATTTTTGCAAAGAGAGTTAAAAGATGAAAGAAGTAGACAAGACAAGGATTTTTTAAAAGGGCAATGTTAAATGAAAATTTTGAGTAGGAATTGATTAGAACATCTTAATGCCATACATCTGCCATATAACTTTAGGAATAAACATAGTTAAAGATATGTATTATATGCAAGTTCTTAAACTAAATAAGATTAATTACATATAATAAGATAGGCATTTTTAAATTGGGCTTAGAAGCCACCTCTGTCAATATTAACTGACAGTTGTTATGAAAAAGAATTTAACAAATTTATTTTGAATTTTTTTGCAGTTCATTGAGTCCAATTGATGCAATGGATATATTGAAGAAAATAAAACAAGAGAAAAGAACAAAAATAATAGATATGTATCCTTCAGACTTTAAACGGCTTTTTGAAACTATAGAATGTTCCAAAAGTCATACCTGTAAGTGGCTATATAATGACTTCATGGAAGAGGTAGTCATATAGGGAACTGGACTGCCAAGACTGTAGCTGGAACAGCTTATTTTATTTGGAAATTATGACACAAATGAAAAAGAACTAAGTTTTTAAAGCTCACGTTCTTTCAACAGAAGGGAACTGTTTTGTTTTGCACAAACAAGGCAGATGATTTCTTCTGAAGTTGATACCATTAGTACATTAGATAAAACAACGGCTGCTATTTTATTCATCACTGAGTACCATGAAGACGTATCTACTGTCAACGTACTTGCAGTTGTATGGAATTACCAGATGAAATTTACTTTTAAAAATCCTTTTAGCCAAATACTTATATTGTATTAATTTAAATGTTCCACTTTCACTTGATTTTTGCATCCTCCAGGGGGGCAAAAAGTTGGTTCATTTTTAAGCTTAGAAAGTAAATAAAACTGATTTAAGTGGTTTGTTTTACTTTTCAGTGGTTTGTAATACTTTTATTAAAGTGTTAAATACTGTGCAATTAAATTAATTTTAAGATGCCTTAAACTTTTTTAGACATTAAAATATTTTAAATAAGAGTTTGTGAATTTTTTTCCGTTTCAAATGAAACAAAATGTCATGTATAGTCAGTGTACAGTCAGTGAATAATTCACAAGTGTTGCATTTTTGTTCCATCAAGAAAATTTATCTGAAGTTAGACTTTATATGAACCTAAATGAAATTAAGAATATTTTCTTAGATCATTGAATAAGCTACTGAATTTTAGCCAAGACATATCTGATCTCCTGAATTAGATTTGATTACTATTATAACACTTTGTAATACCTAAGGCATATTAGTAAGTAACTCTTTGTAGGGCGTGCTCTTAACACTTATCCAAACCAGTTCTTCCCAACTTCCCTACTATTGTCATTGCTGTACAGATCTGGCTGGAAACTAAATCATCTCTTTTCTCTCATAAATTCATTACTAGGTTACAAGAATGTCAGCAGAGAAACATTTTAAATATATTTCAGAGGCATTAACTGATGGTTTTTAGCAAAGGGAATGGAGTCCAAAAACCAGAGAAGCGTGTTTTGCTCTTAGCCTAGATAAAAGGAGTTGAGTATAGATTCTAACATAAATATATGTAGAGGTCAAAAAATGTATTAGTGCCTTACAAGTGGTGTATGCTCTGAGAGAGATCAGGCCGTGTCACCTCAGACAAAATGGAAGAGAAGACTTAAGAATGACAGATTTGTTAAATACTGTGGGAGTTAAGGGAGAAAGAGTTAAGGAGGGACAGTAATATAGAGGGTCTTGCTAAGGATGGAACCAAATTTATAGTGGTATCACTCTATAGTGCCATTTTAGGACTGGAGCCATGGAGAATATGGATAATTAGATGAATAAAAGTTGTGTATGAAGGAGATTAGCCTTTAGGTCTGCATGTGAGTGATTTCTGTTACTTGTACAGTGAGAAATTAGTTTGATAGTCAATGTCTTTCAGATGGGAAGGATGCTGCTTAAAGGCAGTGGGGTGTGGCCAGATCTGTTGAAGGGAGCGTAGTTGACTGATGGCTCCAGCTTCTTCTCCCCTGAATCCACTACTGTATTTGTGCCAAGGCAGCACTTCCTACAGTCTGTTCCCAGGCAATGACTAAGCTTGTTGGAGGTAGTAAGGCAGGCCCCTAACTGTGGTATGTAAGAAGAGGCATTAATCTTGAAGTAGTGGACCTAATTCCAAGTTCCATGCCAAATAGTTACTAGCAAACAGTTTCTAGCTATGTGATCTTAAAAAAGACCTCTGGTGACACACAGAACTCCAACGGCAATTTTGGCTCAAGGACTCCCTGTTGGACTGGCTAAACCTTTCTTGGATTTTTGTTGTGGTCCAGGACTTCCTATCCAATCTTTCTTCTCTCTCTCCTCCCATAGAGTCTTGCAATCACAGCATCGTTTCTCTAAAAACCTTTTACATGTCTAATCTTTTAGCATCTGCTTTTCTGTAGACCCTAACACAGGAGTCAAGGAATATGGAAGTAACAGGAAGAAAATGGTTGAAATGATGCAAGTGTTAGCCAGTTCTAAGTCATTTAGACTCTGGTATGAAGATACCAGAGGTGGAATGATTCCTGGTGATGACAAGGTACAGGTCTGATACCAAACAATTCAGGGTTAAGCACTGAAAAAGATACTTTGCCAAAGGGCTTTTTATTTTTGCTGATGGCTGAGACTAAAAGATGCTCATGTGGTCTTTTTGAATTCCCCAAGACCCAGTGGGCTTAGCAGAATGTCAAAATGGGATATTGGGGACATGGCCGGGTGTCTTTGAACAAAATGTTTTCACTAGAACAGTGAAATAGTTGCCCATACAATTAGCCCCAGGTAATACCATGGTGACTAACAATGGTAGGAGAATGAAGACCTTCAATTATTACAAGAGACTCTCAGTGGTATTTAAGGGTCTTTGTGTGTGTGTGTGTTAAAAAACCCTGTTATGGAATATTACCATTTGTTCTCTCATCACTAACTTGTAGAGTGGCAGATTACTTATCTGGGCCTTGGTTTTGCATGTGCAAAATGAAAAGGGTTTAACTATGTGGTCTTACCTGTGACATTCTAGAATTATTTGACAAGATATTATAAAAAATGCATCTCCTATAGGGAGGACAATTCCTCCTTTGCCCATCATATAAGGAAAATCTACAGAAAGGTCAACACAGAGAAAGCAGAGCTAACACGAAGTAGGCAGACATCATTCTGGTAACATTTGAGCCCCTGGCTCTAATCATACTTGAAGCCATATACACGAACAAAGCCAATTTCCTTTTTTTGTTAAAACTAGTTTCGGATGGAATTCTGTCGCTTTCAATCAAGAATCCTAATAGAAATACTATCTTAATGGGACTCATCCATAGCTTCCCATTCCTACATTACCATGGGGACTGTTCTGAATCTAACTACTAAAAATCAGCAGTCACTCCTGAAGGGATGACTAGTGACCTCCACGCCACAGCCTGGATCTTTGGATTAATAAAAAGGAAAGGTCATTCTAAGGCCTGAAATAGCTATTCTAGTTACCTGATGAGACATATATATATGATAGACTTTTAAAATAATCCAGTAATTCTTGATTAAATTTCATTTGGCTTATTACTAAAACTGCTGGGTAATTCTGTATTAAACATTTATAGCTACTACTTAATTTACCTCTTGCTAATAAAATAGTTGTTAAACCTTCAATTAGGGTTTATGGGGAATTGAGCACAACATTCTAGGCTCTTCATGGTTTTAATCCGCTCATTAAAAGCAAGGATATAAAAGTAGTGGAACAAATAGGGTGAGAAAGCATTGATTTTTGTGTATTTAAAAAATTCATTTTAGATTTCTGGTGAAAGCTAATTGTTGCCAGTAAGGATTTTCATTCGAAACATCAAATCTTCACCAAGATTTGGAGAAAGATGGTCAGTTGCAGGACCCTCCCCAGGATTTCCGTATGATTCGTGGTATGGGAACCTCTACTCCACATGTCATGAGCTCTCATAACACCCTCCAGTTCTCTTTAAAATAAATCCCTTCTGCTGTTTCCATACAAAAGAAACCTCCCCCAAATTTGTTGAGTGCAGGATAGGACAGAGCCTAGGGCTTCGGGGCTTTGGTTTCTATAATAAATCTAAATTGTCGTGTGGTCCCTCCCAGGCAATTTTAGAAAATTGTTTCTGAGTGGCCTTTGTATAGGAAATCTGGAACCTGGTCCTTGCAATTTATCATTTAAGAATTCTGGAAAGCAGAACTTCCTATTTTACAATATAGTTATGAATAATCTCTGCTATTTAAGAATTTAGAAAATAAAGTAGCTTATCTCTTTGTCATTGTAGTTTTACAGGGTATTGTTCTTACTCTGAGGCAATGCATGTTACAGTAGTATGAAATACGCACAACAAAGCCATCAAGTGAATGAAAAAACAGGTTACAGAACAGCTCCCGGCAATATAAAGGAACAAACTCAGATACATAACAGCACACCACACACCTCTGCCGCTAGAAGCTCCTTGAGATCAGGAACTGTTTCCTCTCCTTCATCCACAGTCTCCAGTGCCTCGAACAGAGCCTGACGCCGAGTGCCCAGCAACGCGGTGAATGAAAGAATATTGCTGCGCGCGCGCGCGCGCACACACACACACACACACACACACACACACACACACACACACACACGAAATACTACGATGCAAAGCATTACAGAATGTTATGATGTCTGCATCTTTGAAATGATTCAACAACACAACTTTCAAGTGGCTGAACAATACACACATATACAGACACCCCTGCAGACGCATGGAGGGAGCATGAGCAGAAATAGCAAAACACCAAGAACTGTTTG